GTTGTAGAAACCCATTCATTGTTCACCATGCTTTATGGAGGACCTGAAAAGGAAAAGGGATGGAGCGTGTAGGACTGTCGTAGCTCACGGGACTGCAGGTCTGCAAGAAGCAGACTCTTTAATGCCTCTAACGAGAACAGATAAAAGAGGTCCTGAAACCACAGCTATGGCAAATACAGCATTGCCAGTTCCTTCTCCACTCTTAAAGAGAACCTGCAATAGCAGTAGGATTGCGAAAAAGCCTGTGCAGACGGACTTCTGACCATGAGAAGACAAGCGTACCCAGGGAGCGCCCTTGACTGCTGCCTGGGCTGCGGGGCACACCTGCTTTGCCAACTGGTCTTCTCACGGGCACTCCCAAGTGGGACTCAGCTTCTCCTGGATGTGGACACTTAGTCAGTCAGACAGTCTGCTGCAGAGATGGAAGACATGGGGAGACAGAAAATATACCGGGCTACTATGCTCACATGGTGGGGAACGAATCCCATGCTAGCTTTCGTTTAAGGTGAAGTGGGAAAAGACTAAAAAAAAAAAAAAAATCCCAGGGACATCCTAGTGTGCACGCACAGACATCCTAGATAGCACACATGGTGGGATGACTCGCACAGCTGGAGTGCTGCAATGGATGGCTAGAAACTCTTCAGAAGGGATAGGCAGGGAAGGAGAGGCAGTGGGGTAGCCCTGTACGTTAGGGAGTGTTTTGACTGTCTAAAGCTTAACGATGGTGAGGACAGGGTTGAGTGTTTATGGGTAAGAATCAGGGGGAAGGCCAACAAGGCAGACATTAGGGTGGGAGTCTGTTACAGACCACCCAACCAGGATGAAGAGGCAGATGAAATATTCTATAAACAGGTGGGAGACGTCTCACAATCGCTAGCCCTTGTTCTCATGGGTGGTGAATGGAGTCAAATCCAGTTGGCGGCCGGTCACGAGTGGTGTTCCCCAGGGCTCAGTGTTGGGGTCAGTCCTGTTCAACATCTTTATCAATGATCTGGATGAGGGGATTGAGTGCACCCTCAGTAAGTTTGTAGATGACACCAAGTTAGGTGGAAGTGTCGATCTGCTGGAGGGCAGGAAGGCCCTACAGAGGGACCTGGACAGGCTGGACCGATGGGCCGGGGCCAACTGTATGAGGTTCAACAAGGCTCAGTGCCGGGTCCTGCACTTGGGTCACAACAACCCCATGCAACGCTACAGGCTGGGAGAGGAGTGGCTGGAGAGCTGTCTGGTGGAAAAGGACCCCAGCAGTGCTTTTTCAGTCCCTCCAAGCAGGAAAGAGAACACAAATCAAATATTAAAACAAAAAACAGACAAACAAAAAAAAAAAAACAAAAAAACCCAACCTTGCAAAGTAACACATGCTATGATGAAGCTTCTTCTCCTGGCAGTATAATTTGCTTTCACGGCTCATATGAAATAATCTGATATTCCTCTATCAAAAATGAGATGCTGGACTGGAAGGCCCACAGGTCTAATCCACACTGCCAGCATCTCGGTTTCCACACAGAGAACAGCAAACTCTCTTGAACTTTAGAGTGCTGAGGTTAAGAAATGCTATTTACAGCTAACACATGAATATAATTGGCAAGCAGAATAAGTGCACACATAATCAAGTACACGCTTAACACAGCATGTTTGCTCTACCCCTCGGGAATTTGTTTCAACTTTCACCTGGAGAGCCAGCCAAATTCTTCAGAAAAAGCTAAAATTTCATAAACTCGCATTTGAAAAAAGAATAGTAAAATCCTTTTCAAGTTCAACTACACGGGGTAACTTAAAATTGGAGTAGGAGAAACACACAATGGTTTTAATTGCTTGCAAAAATGGATCTTTCTGTAGTCTACTTATTTTCCTGCGTTTATGTCTAAAATCCTAATCTCATTTTAACACAGTAAGCAGTGAGGTGGATTTGCTAAGATTAGTCTATGTGAGAAAATGAGAAGTTAAGGTGTTTACTGGCTAACGAGTAAAGATATTTAGAGAGCTGCTTTGAAACACAGGTTTTAAGGCATGCATTTTTTTGCTGTAGAGTTCTTAGTGGAAGCTGGACTGAACAGGAAAGGGCTTTCCTTTCAAATTCAAAGCAGTCCTAGGCTTCAGTTGCAGCCTTAAAAATGCACACACAGAAGAGGGATTTATTTTCATCTGTAATAGAAATGCATTCACTAGAAGCAAATGGTGTCAAAAAAGCAACATTTGTGGTATGAGAAACCACGCGAGCATCTCGAGTGCAAGCTACAATGGGTGCTGACAGCTTAAGCAACGCAGGGTGCAAGATGAGTCACTGCTGCGCTATTCACAGGAGCTCGTTTCTTCACTGGTAACTTGGTAGAAAAGCATAAGAAAATTCCAAACCCAAAACTTCATTCTTTTTAGTTATAGGGAAAGCATCAAGCAATCACAATGTGATAGTGGCTGAAGCATAACTGTAGCACCATACTTAATCCTGCAAGAACTTCATAATGAACAAATCAAAGTTCAAAAAAAAGAGGACAGTACTGAAGTTGTTTTACTGGTAGTCTTAGAACGTAGCTTGTAACCAGCTTTTAAGCGTTTCAGGATTCATAAGTATATGGCAGAGAAGGAACTTAGTGCAAGCTCCTGTAAACTTCTGACCAGACAGTACTATGGCTGCACATTACAATATTTTAGATAAAATCGAAGTTGTTAGGATGAAACCTCCATAATATTTATTGTAAATGCAAATTTATACAATTAATCAGTAAGATTTTTTGTAGATGTTGTAACAAGCTTCACTTATATTTTTTCATCTGTTCTTGCAGCATCAAGACTTCAAGCTTCTGAAGTACAACTGCAAAAAATGCTGGTTCTTTTTGGAGGCAGAAGTATACAAACTGTAATTCTGCATTCCAAGAGGAAAAAAGAAGAGATGAAAGGCCTAAGTAGAGTTTTGCTGTGGGACTTTTTTTTTTTTTGGCATTGATTTATTCCCACTGTCTACCCTTTTCATGATCCATTTATATAAAAACTGCTCTAGTACTTTGACAAAATGGAGATACTCACCCAAACTCCAGCAGCACGTGGTCAGGAGCCAGCCGAGTAGTCTAGACTTGATCAAGGAATGTCATCCAGAATTTGGGCTCCCCAGAAGACGACAGAATTGACGTACTGGACTGAGGGCAGCAGAAGGCTGCCAAGGTGATTAAAGAGCTGGAGCACATGATGGAAAAGGCTGGGAGAGCTGGGTTTGTCCAGGCCTTAAGAGGAAAAGGCTTTGGGAGGACCTTACTGCTGTCTTCAGCTACCGAACGGGAGGGTGTAGAGAAGACAGAGCCAGACACTTCTCGGAGGCGCAGCGGTAGGACAAGAGGCAGTGGACACAAACCGGAACATGGGAAATTCCAATTAAATATGAGACCTTTTTTTCCACTGTGAATATGGTCAAAGACTGGAACTGGTAGCCTGGAGAGGCTGTGGATCTCCATCTCTGGAAGCGTTCAAAACTCAACCAGACAACAGCGACGTGATCTAGGTGCACCTGGTGATGGAGCAGATGGCTCTGGAAGTCCCTTCTGCCTTAAATTCTATTATTCTACACACTGGGTTTTTAGTGACTCTCTCTGGGCAGTCATATAAGCCAAGCACACGTACAAAGATCTTTTGTTTTGCTTTTAAATTCACCTGCTAATTCCTTAATTTTTACATTTTTCATTTGTTAAAACATAAAATATCAATGTAAATCACAAGGATGGCGTTTTAAAACTGAAGTGATGATCGCTTTAAGTACCAGTGGCATTTTATCTGGATTTTAACACACTAGTACACTATGTGAGATGTTACCCGTAGCCAAACTTGAAAATGCAAAGCATGTATTCTGGCATGGCATTTTATTAAGATGTCAAATCTTTTGTGTTAGCAGTCAGTCAGTCATTGAAAACAATCTAATCTAGTCAGTGAAAATAGCTGTACAACTTCAACATGGTATGCCCCATTTATATAGCTCATTATGCTCTTAAGTGACTCTATTCATTGTTCAAGTCCCCACAAAAACAATTACCAGCTTTTACATATATTAAAAGTAACATTACATTCTGCTCTCAAAAGTACAAAAAAATAACACTTTAAATATACACTGGCTCCTAAGCTTAGACCGAGTCCTGTCAGGAAGAGAATTTTGCACTTAAACAGACAGTGCCTTCAACATCAAAAGCTCTTCAAAGTGCTTGGCAGAGCGTGTGAACGCTATCCCCACTTACTAGATGATGAAACTAAGGCACAGAGGTCAACTGCCTTGCCCACACTCACGCAGAGAGCGAGTGTTAGAACTAACAGAGCTGAATTCGGGCTTTTCAGTTGTCCAGTGTAACCGCCGCATCTCATTGCCACTATTCAAGTGCAATGGCTAAAGCATTTCTGAGGAGCAAAACTTGTACAGCATACAGTAAGCAGAAGGGACGATCCAGGGCCAGTCAAAGGCTGCAACAATTTCAACCCAAAACAAAGAAATTTGGTAGTCAATAAATCAAAATGCACTTAAGGGAATGATCACATAGAAAATTATACTTTAGCCTGCAGAGAGAAAGCTCATTAAACGTAAGACATATGGTGTCAGCTTTGCAAAAAGTACTTGTTATCTTAAGCTTGACAGTAGTTCAGGTAATGTTGACTTCCTCAGAGAAGTTGTACTTTCTGATCTTAAACACTGTTCTACCAGCAAGGTACACTTCTCTGGAGAGTCGCGCAGAAATGCAAATAAGGGGCCAAATATCTCCTTAGTAGGCATGGATGTGTACAAGGCACAAAAACCCCACATTAATCACTTGTGAGGTATAGACTAAGCGATAGAGAAATACCAATCTGGAAAAATAAAAAAAGTCTAAAATAAATAAGGTTAAGAAAACCGAAAGTCACCCATCAAAAATCACCAAGAAATGCATCTTCAGACAGATTATGCTGCAGAAAAGAAAGTGCGATATGTGTAATCACTGCCTGGATGAGAAGCGTGTTATAGCCTAGCCCTCTGATGACAAATAAGCATTTCAGAAAGCCTGTCCTTGAATAGAATGCTCATGAGATGACTCATTTACTGACAGAGACTGCTGATGGGATTCAGAAACATGTACACTTTGATTCTGTTCTTCACTGATTTGATGGGAAGGAACTGTATCTTGGCTAGAGTGAGACTGCTGACTTGATTCCTGAGTCAACTGCACGTGCTGAGCTGGATGTGAAGATCCGGCTAAGTGGATTTCTTCATTTTGTCCTTGATGAGCGTGGAGGTGTTCGAGTGCTTCCTTGGAAAAAAAGAGTGATGACATGCATTTGTTCAGGCTGGGCAGTCTCTATTTGGTTTGCAATCACATTGATACTTTGGATTTGTTCCGCTTGCTCCTGCTGAGCTGAAAGCAACAAGTTTTGCAACTGCTGCGGTGGCTGGGCAAGCAGCGTGAGGTTAGCAGCCTGCTCTGTTGTCATATTTGGGGCATTTTCTGCAGTAACAATACTAATGCCTTGATTATGACTAGGCATGAAGTTTATGTTATGTACTGCATCTGTAACCAGTAGCTGAATTTCCTGCCCTCCAGAGGTGGCAAGTTGATACTGCTGCAGCTGAAGAATGTTTCTCACTTCAGAATTAGTGTTGGTGCTTGGAGCAGCACTGGCTTCCTGAAACTGCTTTTCTTTGCTATGAATTTTCAAATGAGACTTCAGGTTGTCCAGACGAGCAAACTGCAAACTACATTCTGGGCAGGAGAAAGGCTTTTTGCCTGTGTGTAAGATACAGTGTCTTCTCTTCGCGCTGGAATCAGAGAAGGATTTTCCACATATACCACAAGAATATGGCTTTTCTCCTCTGCAAAAGAATGTATTTGATCTCATTAAAATATTCACTTTGACAGTGCTGCTTTCTGCAACTTATTATAGAATAAAAAACTTATTATTTTGTTTTGCTAAATCATAAGCAGTTAAGAATAGTGACGTTAAAAACGTTCTCTATTTGACTTCCTAGTTATTTCTATTTGACTTCACAAACTGTACTTTCATTTGTATATACCCAAGAGCTACAGAGATAACATAACTGCCCTCCTGTCACAATACCAGAGGTACAAATTCTATGCTGCTAGACCTGGACAAGAATGCACCAACTTACTTTGCACAACTGTAAGCACTGACCATTTAAAGAATGTTTATTAACAGTGTGGGCTTTAAAACAAAAAGAAGTCCAAATCCTAATTTGCTGCCGGATTCAAAGGGATGAAAAAATTTTACTGGAAACGTTCTCTTTTACGTAAGGCCCACAACAGTTCTCCAATGATTTAAAATCTTACGTGCCTTTATGCAATATATCACACTGACACGGGTAAAAGATAACTAATGCTATTAAAGAGACATGATAGACTACGGGAAAACAGGACAATGCTCCAATAATCTTGTGACACCAGAGCTACTGTTCTGCTGTCAAACAAAAATTCACAGTGAAGTTTTCACATAAATAATATCGCAGTAAGTACATTGTCATTAAACAGACGCAATACACAAACGGAGAAACTTACAATGTCTTACGATACACTAGTATTTAACAGTGCAGTACTTTCCACCACCAATTCTTTCTTAAAATAGATTAAACAAAAATGTCAATCTTTAACCATCCATTCAAAATGCAAACGAGCCCTGACCATTCTGTAATTGAACAAGCACTACATACAGGTACCACAATAGAAGGTACATTTTTAAAGAACGTAATGAACATTAGACATACTCTACCTGTGAATTCTAATGTGAGTCTGAAGAGAACTTTTAGCTGTAAATGATTTGCCACAAATTTCACAAGTGAAGGGCTTCTCACCTATCAAAAAGAAATTTGACATATATTTTATATATGTGCTATATTTTATATAGCACTTCCCATCAATATATTAAAAAACATTTTATATTTTGCCATACGCAGTATGAAGTGTGTACTGTCAAATCCTCACGCTTCTGGCACGTGACAGAAGGACAGATATCTGAAATTGAATGAGCTCGCTAGTTAAATGAGCGTATAGTATTTTAAACATACATGTCTGACATTTCTTCCCTTTGAAGATAAAGATGACCCAAGCCCTCAGAGCAACAAAAAATGTACCTATGATACAGATGCAGGTGTTCCATATGGAACAGGCAAGTTTGAAAAAGGCTGACCCTGAACTAGCAGGCATTAATGCTAGGCTCACGTGCAGCACCGTGCAGATAAGTAAGCCCGTATTTCCAAACCTGAAAAATGAATCCATTATCTTAACAAATCAGCTGGCTTCCTGTAAGGCTCCCATCCTAGGCATACGATATCCTGGGAACACCAGCTGGAGAAAAATTAAATTATGGTGGGTTGAATAAATTGTGGGTTTGGTTTTTTTCTTTGCTTGTTTGTTTTAACTGCATTTGGAATTCTTGTATCTAACTGAGCAGAAGCAGAGGAGCCAAATGAAATAACAAAAAGGTTCACAAGAAACAGATACTACCCGACAAACGCGAATCCTCATTCACACCATAACATATCCTTGTTGCACTGAGCTTCTTTAAGACACTAGCTATGAGAATCCGGATCACCACTGTGGTAGTTCACGCTATCCAAGCACACTGAACTGGGGATGGGGCAGCAGCCAGTTTCCAAGGAAGCTTCACATTTAGTATAGAACTGCAACTCTTATCAGCTTTTGTATGGCTTCGGAGGGCAGGGGCAAAGTATGAGAGAACAAGAAACGTTTGTCAGAAGGGACCTCTCGCCATCTAGTCCCAGCCTCCGACTGAAAAGAGGAGTAGCTTCCTAAGCAGACTGTATTCTTAGGACATTCTTTTGCCAAAGCAGAAGAGTTGTATCAATGTTAACATCTGTCCCCAAATTCCTTACAATTTTACTTCTTGCTTTTGAGACGGGACAGATCAACTGTTATTTCTGCATCATTAATACTGATACCTGGCCTGTCATTTCTGGAAGCAAAATACACTGCAAGCCAGCTTCTGCTCGAACTCATCTTAATTGATCTATTTTTGCAACTTACCTTGCTACGATGCTTCCTCTTCTCACCTCCCACTACATTTATAGAGCTGTATCAGCTTCAGATACAAAACTGTTGTGTGTGTCAACAAACACTATGTTCTCTTCAATAGAAAATGCAGTATTTATAAGTATTGCAAGTTAACACTATTGTGGATACATCAAAAACTCCCAAAGGCACAAGTTCTGACCTCATCCTATCCCAGGGAATTTAAAGCTGTGTTATTTTCACTGAGAAAGAAACAAATGAGAGACATAACTTGATCTTGTGCATACTTGACTGCAACTGCGAGCAACATACTTAAGAATAATTTGATTTGGGGAGGAAACGATTGCCATCGTTTATAGCTATCTTAAAAGAAAAAATATATCCAAGTCATCTTATGAAGTTACCCTTCAATGAAAACTATTTTAAGAAGCTTATGCCTTGTTATCACGAGATGGTGGATCAACATTTTTATCCCCGTTGTCCAGCCATTCAAATATCACCTTGCCCTCTAAATCTCTTAAAACACCCTCTGATGCACTTGCACTAAATCATCCCTCCCAGCCCATCTCCTGCCAACATCTGGTTTACTACAGCGTAATAAAAAAGTAAATGGAAATAATTTTTTTTCTCGTCAGCAGCATTTTTTATAAGCACCCATCCCTCACAGACAGGGGCACCCAGCTCATTTAGGACATACACTTTCTGTTACTACTTAGCTTACTTCAAGCCCTGCACATGCTGGATGTGGCTCTCCTGATAACTGAATTCCCAGTCCGGGATTCTATCACAGAAGAGCTAACTGGCATTTTCTGCAGCAGGCTTTATAAGAATGGGGGGAAAAAAAGCTCTTCCTATAATAGGCACTGCTTCTGCGCTACTGTAATACAAGATTTTTTGCGCTCCTGCATTCTTGATGTCAAATCTCTTCATTAATGATACAGGCATCATTACGTACAAGTAGAGCAGAAGTTCATCCCACAGAGACAAGTGTCATTTGCCTAACATTGTTTTGTCTGTGTTACTTCAAGAAAAAAAAAACAACCACAAAACACAACAAAACATGACGGACAAATTACCTGTATGTGTTCTTAGATGTTTCTTTAACTGAGCTGCATCCATGAATTTGCGACGACACTGGTTACATTCCGGCAGTGAATGGCCTTGTCGCAATAATAAAAAAAGTGTCAGTGCATAAGTGATCCCCTGTATCTCTTCAGTGATCTTTGTTAAAGCACTTTCCTGTAAAATAACCACTTTGATATAATATAGAGATAAAACAAAAGGTGATTCACTGCCTCCTCCCTATCTTAATTGTCACACCTCTTTTTCTCTACTTGATATTATCATGGGAAAAGAGGGACTGACACCTGCTCCCCCCCAAACATGCTTTCTCTTGAAGCTTTGTAAGTTTTGACTTTTCCACCACTTCCTGTCCGTGTAGCTTAATTTCCATCCTGCTCCAGAAGTGAGGAGGACACTTAAAGCTTGTTTGCCATTGCTAGTCCAAAGTAGCGGGAAACTACAAGGCAATTTGCACAACAGGCAGCGGAAACAATTGTTTATACAATTCCTAGCTTCTATGTAACACAGATAGCAGGGCTAAAATAATCAAGTTGTATGTCAAATACAGCATAATTAATTTTTAATCATCGCAAGAGTCCTTCTCAATTAACTATTCCGCTAAACATTCAATTTATTATACACCATTTTGTCTTTTTCACCCTATTCATTGTTATATAAAGATATATCAGGGTAGCAGAGACTAAATACATCACTGAAGAAGAATTTTCAGGCTTAGTCAATCTTTATAAGGACAAATCAGCATGGACTGTAAGCCAGCTCTTCCACCCAAACTTGTTATACCTGTGTGTACTCGGTAGTGGCTCTTGAGCTGTCTCTTTTGGCTGAAGTATTTCCCACACTGATCGCATGTAAAAGCCTTCTGCCCTGTAAAGAAAATCACTTGTTAAAATGTAAGCCACATCCAAAGCAAGCGAACGGAAATAAATAAATAAATAAACCAGCACACACGAGAGAGAGCAGAAATGCCTTTTTTCAGAAAGGCAAACTCTTGGGGAAGAGAGGTTACATTTGCCTTGAAATATTTACCTGTATGTAGGCTCATATGCTCCAGAAGAGAATGCTTTGTTGTCAGAGCCTTACTGCAGACGGTGCACGTGTATGGCCGTTCTCCAGTGTGCATCCGCTTGTGGACTTGAAGAGAATGCTTCTGGGAAAAGCCTTTGCCACACTCACTGCACTTAAAAGGGCGCTCCCCTAAAAACAAAAGATGACATTTTTAAGTACAGATGCATTATTTCTCGCGAGATACTCTAAGCTGATATTGAGATGCACTGCAATGTAGTAGCTTCTAAAAAATGACTTTTAAGTAGTGATACGGCAAATTAAGAGACAAGCTTCACATAGCAATAAAATGATTCTTTAAGTAGAATCATAGAATCATTTAGGTTGGAAAAGACCCTTAAGATCATCGAGTCCAACCATTAACCTAGCACTGCCAACTCCACCACTAAACCATGTCCCTAAGCACCACGTCTACCCGTCTTTTAAAAATACCTCTAGGGATGGAGACTCAAACACTTCCCTGGGCAGCCTGTTCCAGTGCCTGACCACCCTTTCGGTAAAGAAGTTTTTCCTAATATCCAACCTAAACCTCCCCTGGCGCAGCTTGAGGCCGTTTCCTCTCGTCCTGTCACTCGTTACTAGGGAGAAGAGACCGACTCCCACCTCGCTACAGCCTCCTTTAGGTAGTTGTAGAGAGCAATAAGGTCTCCCCTCAGCCTTCTCTTTTCTCCAGGCTAAACAACCCCAGTTCCCTCAGCTGCTCCTTGTAAGACTTGTGCTCTAGACCCTAGTATTGCTATATAATTCAACATTTGAACAGAGAAATGATTAACTAAACTGCTATCTTGGTAAGACATAAAGGCTACGAGATCTGCTGACAAGAATAAAACAGTGAACACGGTTTCAGAGGCATACCATAGCAATTTGGATCAGCAAGCTGTTTTGGAGAGTTCTTGCTGTAGACAACAGCCCACACCTCAACAACTAGCTCGCATTTAGCAACGAGTCAGTAAAACCCTAACCCAAACGCAGCAGTCTCAATGCCTACCTGTATGACTCCGCTGATGAATAGCTAAGAAGTGATTATATTTAAATACTTTGCCACAGTCTTTACAGCGAGCTTCAGAACCTACACGTTTTCTTTTTCCATCAGTTCTCTTTGCCAGTCCCTTTTCATCCTCATCACCGAGAAGCTTATAATCTTTTAGTTTAATGGATCTCCTTATTCTACGTTTGCTATAACGGCTCTGAGTACTCTGTATTCCTTCAGATTTGGGATCATAATTCTCATCTTTCTCAGCTGACAGATCGACAGCAGCTTCTGAGCCACAAGCAGGTTCAGTTTCTTCTGCATCTTTTCTTGCTGAAGCCTGTTCGCTGACAACTGTTTCTTCTTCTGCGGTGTCCTTTTTCATAAAATTTTGCTTATTTTGCATGGAGTTGTTCTCTCTCAGCTGCACATCTTCGGCAGAATTTGCGGCTGGTTTTTCTTCTTGGACATTCTTGACTTTCCTCGGTCGCCCTCGTTTTCGCTTTGGTGGATCTTCGTTTTTCTTGTCACTAGCAGTAACGGCTACAGAGGCTCCACTGTTAGCCGGAGCTGGCAACGCATTGCTTGGGCTACGGCTGGCCTGATAGTCTGTGCAGGCCCACACCAAGTCATTCACTTTCAGCAGCTGTGCAGTAGCCAGAATTTGTTCCGTGCTTTTTTCACTGGCGCGGAGGCAACCGGTGTAGATAAATTCTAGCAGTGCTCCAAAGGTGTCTGCAACCATTCCCTCCAACATGTAAATTGACTGCCCTATTTCACCCTCATCTACAAACATCATTGAGAAGTATTCACTGCTGGCAGCAAGCAAGGCTTTATGGGCTCTGAATTGCACATTCTCCACTATTAGGGTAATGTCACAAAGAAAATCCTTTTTCCTTTGTTCTTCAAAATTAGCTAGAATGGTATCTTTGTGAGCTTTGGAGTGGATGACAACCAGTTTCTCAGACGCCTCAGGAGCTGTTTCTGCCATTTTTATTATGCATATGAACGCAGGAGCCTACAAGAACAGAATAGCTTTAATTAAGAAATATTGTAGAAGTCTGCATTATAACACACCAAATATAATTTGGTTTACCAGTCAACAGTTTAATAATTTCTAAAGCAATTCTGAAGCTTCTGGAGTTTAAAAAAATCAACACTAATGCTGACACACACTTTCTTCAAAAAGAGTTCTTAAATCCTAAGAAATGGCTACAGATAGTTTCTTCTTAGATCAGAACTACTGCCTATATTTCATTTGTCTCTCTCTGATGTGCTGTGAACTGTATAGCATATTAAAAAATGGCTACCCCTTCTGAAAACTCCTTTCACAACCAAAACAATTGAACAAAAAGAACTCTTTGTTCACAGCTCCTAAGTGGAAACAAATAATAGAAAAAAAAAAAAAAGGTCAACTGCAGCTTCATCCCTGCAGATGCCACATTTCAGATTATTCCCGGACAAGGCTACGAAATCCTGTAATCAATAATAAAACTTCACTGGCATCAGTGTGGCAGGACTCCATGCTTTCTTTTATCCATTTCTATCCTTCTGAAAACTTCTTTTTCAGAACACTTACCTGCTAAGCTTCAGCCTATGGAAATGGGCAATAAAAATAGAAAAACAACAGCTTTTTGTAAGAGCTCTGGCTAAAATAGGGTTGACTATGCTAACTATTAACCACCAATCTGGCTTGCTAAGCTTCTTCAATTGCAAATACGCAAAAATTAAAAACAAGCAAAAAAAATATAATCCAGCAATGGCAGAAGAGTCCATCAAATAATACTGTGGAAGAGATGTGCCAAAAATGTCCACTTCAAGAGGATCAGCTGAGCCAAACATGAAAGAGATTAGCTACCTGCCATCTTAAAATATAAAGCTGTTATTTTAAATACAAACACGTATTTAAACATAGCCATCAGTGAGCACAACAGTTCTGATTACTGAAGGGATGCTGTAAGAAACAATGTTGACTACATACAGACGATACCTAAATGCTACTGAGATGGCCAAGCGATTCTCTAGCCCCATTCAGCTACCAAACAGTTCACGGCTGAGCCTAATTGTGTATGTGGGAAACTTCATTTCTGAAGGACGGGACCCTGATGCTGCTGGAGCACCCTGAAGCACGGCTGTAGGTCTGACCCAACCCCGCCTTACGGGGGATCACAGGAGCTCCTGAAGAGCTGCTGCCAACTCTGCCTGCAGAGTCAGTCTCTGACATCCACATGCGCCTCAGATAGGGCAGCAGGTGTTTTGTGGGTTCTGATCACATGAAGCACCTTGCTATTCGATCACGAGGTGACATCGTTACTATTTTGACTGCAAAATCCAAACCGGCCTGCTCACGTAAGAGAAAAGCGACGTCGATACTACTAGAGTACGGCTGTGTACCGGGGGAAGGCAGCTCCAGCCCCTGCGCTGACGGGCTGCGGAGGGGCTCAGGAGCAACACGCGCGCTCTGGGGCTGACCCCGGGCAAGAGAGCACGGCCCCGGGCTGCCCCTCCACACGAGCAGCGACGGCA